AGTACACGATGGTGAGATAATATTTGCTGCAAGTTATTGGGGTTTGATGAAATTTGATGTGAAGACGAACAAACAAGTTTTCAGTTTGACAAATTCAACTATAAAGAAATTTAGCCCTGTATATTCACTGTTTGAGATTGATACTCATAGTAACCAAGTCTGGTACGTTAGTTGTATTTGTTTTTGTTTAATATTTAAACAACAGCTTCTCCCTGACGATTGTGGATTGAATAACAGCATGTCCATGAGTGCAATTAAAACCAATAACACCCTGAGTTATCATATTACAAACAAAATTGGATAATTTTAATTAATAATAACCTATCACATATAAAATAAAAATTCAAATTATGTTTTTCAAAATAGTGAGATAACGGACCAGAATCCCAGTGAACACGGGTTTTGCTATAAAAAAAATGGTTAGTCTACGTTGTCAGGATAACAATATGAGCAAATTTATTGGAGGTACACGGCATCTTATAACGTGCAGAGTCTCGCGCACACCTTACAGATCATTATTCTACCAGAACGACACGACAGAGACGTGCATCATTCTCTGAGATAAATTGAACCAAACAAGCCGTTGATACGATCTTGATCTATTGTGTTGCAGTTTGTATTGGGTTGGACCAGGTGAACAAATAAGCAGATATTTGATAAAATCCAATATAAACTATGTGGTTGTTCAGTTGACCCAAGCTAGCTGGATGCCTATAAATGTGTACCGTAAGTATTTAACAACGATATATTCTTTTCGTATTATTTCTATAATATTTCTGGATAAGGTAAATACATTGACAGCAAAATGTCGGCTTTGTAAGTTACGTTTAACGTCTTTGCTTAAATATTATAACAATTACTATTAAATGTACACTACACATAAGGTGTAAGGTGATGATTGAAGTGGACGTCGGACGCATGATGAAAATCTCGTCTACAGCATGACAAAATCGGGAGCAATAATTGGACTCGATATCATATTAGCTTTAGTAGAATTATGTAGAATTATAAAATGTGAGTCTGAAAATAACATCTGCTTCTACTTAACAAACAGGATGCACCCAGCTAGCATAGGATCATTTCTATTTATGATCTCTGTAATCGTTTTGGATGTATATTGAATTTGCCGAGTTACACAGCATCTCTCTAATTGAATATTTAAAATGTTCAAGATGATTTTCCGTCATTGTTGCTCTTTCTATTTTAGAACAAAGGGTTTACTGGAACGGTTTTGCCGGCAACTATTTTAGCACTAATTTTAACCTACAGAACAGGCAATCTTGGATTTCTGACAATATTGTTTATATTATATTTGGTGGAATTATGTATTATTCATATCACAGGTAGATATATTGAAATATTGTACACAGAACAACACTGTCGGTGGTCAAAGCAGTCAAATACTGTATAAGAAATAATGCCCTATATATTTAATTGCTAACACTTATTGCAGACTACCAAAAGAAGTGGACAAATCGTATGAAATCATATTGTTTTGCGCAGGTGGTAATTTTTACAGTTTTGATATCCAGCAACTTTTGGACAATCGTTGATTAATTGTTCTATTCAGTGAGGCTATAGCTTCCGGCATGAAAGAGATTGCTAGAGAGAACAAAAAAATGAGTCTTATCAAGGATCCTGAAAGGTTTGGAGGTTCCGGCACATGAGCGGTCTTGGTCGGAGACTTTTGTCGCCGATCACAGTTCTGTCTTGAGTTTCAGCGACTGGCACAGGCACAAAAGGAGACAAAAATCTGCAGTCGGTCGTTTTCCACCTTGTCGATAATCACGTAAGAAGCAGACAATTATCAAACCTGTTTGATAATATAAATCCTGTCGGCGACACGGTAATCTTGTCGTGGAAGCACGGGCATGCGCGAGATTTTAGTCAAGATTCGAGTCGGAAACAAAAGTCTCAGGCCAAGACCGCTCGTGTGCGAAAAGCTGAAGAGAAAGACAAGGTTGAAAACACCTTTTCTAGGAGTATAAGCAAGTTACCTTCATCAAATTATGATTATGTATCAATTATTTGTCTACCCCAATTTGCTACCCAAGTTCAATTTCAATTCAAAGAGAGTATTGACGGCACCCACAAGCCATTTGATTAGCGATGTTTTGAATAACGATATATAAGATTCGAAACACCACAACAGTTTGTGGATACAACTAGTTGACACATCGAACGAAACAGGTCATTATTATAAACTTTTTTTTCAACATTTCAGAAACATTTCGTCACAGTTATCCAAGGTAGTTTATCCTTTGAAACCCTTCTATAGTCCTTGTCCTGCCACATTCGTTTACAAATTGGTGGTCATTCCTGAATCTGAGCAGACTGTTATTAAAGACTATGATAATCGGGGCGACGACAAGATTGTAAATGATGACGATCAAGATGTTGATGAGGGACATGACAAAGATGATGTTAAAACTAGTGTCTGGTCAACAGTAGGTTGGAGTTTAGGATGTTTCTTTACATTATTCATTCTGGTGATAGTCTGCCTCAGAATATATAAAATGGTCAGGAGAAATCTAGTAAGACAACCTAATCATAACACAACAGAAGAAAATATATATGATATACCTGAAAATATCTACAAAGGTGATAATTCTTTATACAGAGATTCAAGCTTTAATTTAGGTTCTGAATCTCAGTATGTTGATGTTCGAATCTAAGACCATATATTTGTCGCATCAATTCATTCAGATTGTACAAGTCACCTCACAAATTGATTGAAATTTTCAAATTATACAAGGAATTAGCATTCCTGAACTCGGATCAGCAGTAAGAAATCTTCTTTTGTTAATAACACATAAAGTACTTGAGTGGCCTTTCGTGTAAGAATGACTCCAGTAGTAGATCTTGTAAACATATATTTACTCTAGTGGTAGATCTTCAATATTCACTCTATAAGTAAGTCTCGTACACTTTCCCTTAAAAAGAATTCTGTTTATTCACTTTAGACGTGGAGTTGCACTTTTACTCTAGTTGTGTATCTTTTATTTTTACCATAGAAGTGGATCCTTGTAAAGAATTTTGTATTTTTACTTTATTTGTATTTTCATACGCCCACATTAAATTGTGGACGTAGATTACAACTATCCGTCCACCCATTCACTTTTCTTTTAAACACTATAGGGGCTTTTTTTTTATCATATCTGAATTAAATTTAGTACGCATGTATATATTGATTACATATTGGTCATGTCCGAATGCTATTCGAAATGGGTTATTGTCCTTAAAGTAGTGAAAACACGTTACAAGAATAAAGCACAAAAGAGGAAAAAGGTTTTATCTGATCTTGATAAAACTTGGCATGCATGTATATATTGATGAGATCTTAGTCAAGTTCTAATTTGGCTCATTTAGATAACGGATTTTGAGTCATTGACCTTGATTTGGTACAGTTCAGCTTTCATGAAATTTGGTGTGATCATTAATACTGATTTATTATTTATTATTATTTTCATTTATTATCTTGGACTGATTCCAATTTGACCATTTTTCGATGACTAATTCGATCTTTTCGATAAACGGGTTTTGATTTTTAAAAAAACGCGTCAAAAAAATTTCTTTGTGAAAACAATAGTGACTATAGTTTTTATCTGATTTACAGGAAATTTGTTGTGATTATTCATATTGATAATATCTTGGACTGATTGGAATTCGACGGTTTTTGAGCTATTGTCCTTGACTTTGAAATAAAAACGGTTTTCACCTGATATTAATGTAATTTGGTGTGATCATTTTTATTGATGAGATCTTGGTATAAGTTATTTACAGTAAATATATAAATATGAATAAATTCAAACTACAAATGCATTATGAGGATCTGTAAAATGAGAAAATTCATATTTAGTTATGAAAGACTTGATTATTTTTTCTGACAGCTGCCTGTGGGCGTATGTTATTTTGCCTGGTAAGCTATCTTTTTCTTACCATAGTGGTGGATTTTGACTTTATGTATGTCAAGAATCATTCGCGTTTGCAAGTGAATATGACACTTGTCCTTTCCTGAGACTCAGCCATTTTTATTAACAGATATATATATAAAAACTAGAAATAGAAACTGAAATGCCTAGTTTGGAAATTTTTGAATGAATTATGTGATTTTCGTGCAGATGTGGAACCATGGCCTGTAATTTTGACCATGCACAACACTACCTCAAGAATACCATCTGTCCTCATTCTGTAAATCTTCAAGCTTCTCTTTGATGAGATAAGTTATTTAGCATCAGTTTTCAATTGATCAGCCCGGCTGTCCGTACTATTGCTGCGATGTACCTCCTTGCTTCATGTCGTATATGACCACTGTGTAGGTTCACAGAATTTCCTTCATATTAAATATAACATATTTAAAGATTAAAGATATAGCCTGCCACTAAAGTGGTATTTACTAAAACTCCCTTCAAAAATTTCACGGGCGTCATGTGTTTCTTCTATCATCCGAGGTGTTTTGTCCTGCAACCCGGTTTAAAGGGACTTTCCGCTTTTTTGTAGGTCGAATGTTTTTTACTCAAATATGTGAAAATTCTATACAACAAAATCTAGAGAGTTGGTCAAAAATATTCGAAAACATTACGTAAGGTTTTTCAGTTCGTTATGCTTTTTGGAAGCTGTTAGTTCACTACTGTACGAAGTTCAGTAAAATAAACACCGAATTGTAGAGAAATAATTATGTCTCCTACGTATTCTAAAGGTTTCAACTAGAAATAAATCCGAACATCAAAACTAGGTCAATTGCTTAAGTAACAATTAGCTCACTCCGTTTTCAATTAACCCTTTAAAAACAAATTCAGTTTGATCAAGAAGATACATAGATATAATAGCATACAAAAAAGCAGAACGCTCCTTTAAACTTGGTTTTACACATGTGACATGTCATATTATCATAATTTTACACTAGTATTTTTTTATCATCACAATAATATGTGGAGTTACCACCAGATGATTCTATAATTTTACACTAGTTTTTGTTTTCCCTCCAGTTTTGAGCAGCGATGGCGGATGTGGCTCCAGGTAGGGTATGCATACCCTGTAAACACCTTATACTACAGTGTTGAAACCTATTTTCGAACACCGAATTTCGTCATTTTCGGATTTTTTTTTATGTCTTAGATGTTTCTAACGACTTCATTCGTTGGACTATATTCTAGCAGACTACACTTGAAATTCCGATTACA